GCAAAATCTAGCAAGAAGTGGAAATCTCTGGGGTGAGGCTGGGCCACCGCCGGCGGGTTCGCACGACCAAACGGTAGCCCGCCCGCCCGCCCCCGGCCCGTTTTCAAATGAGAAGATGGCTTTGGGGCTACGATTTCTATTTGAAAATCAGCCGAATTGGAAGAGTTTTTTGGCCTGCGTAAAATCTGCCCAGGTGAAACATCCCCATCTGCTCCTTACCACTGGCCCCTTCCGCCTGCCCACCCTCCACCCCAAAATCCATTCCTAGACCAACTTTCCCCCAAACCGGTACTAGAAACACCCTCCCAAAAGCCGGGTTTTTTCCCTCCGGCTCCTGGCCATAATGATAATTTTTCGCGTTCTCAACCTTAAAGGAGGTGGGAAAAAAATTCATTAAAATATTTCCTTTGTTCGGTTTCTCTCTCTCTTTCTCTCTCTCTCTCCTCTTTTCTTTGTTTGTTGCATTCGGATTGTCATCCCCCCCCCCCCCCAAAAAGGTCCCGGTTATTTTTTTTTAAAATTGTTTTTTTTTTTTCATTTTAATGCGTATAAAAATAAGTCTATGGTTTGTTTTCACGCTGGACTGAGGGCATCTGTGATTGACACCTCATAGCACAGTTTGACCAGCTTCGGTATAGAAAGTTGTTCATTTCAGATATTATGCTGCTAAGAATAAGCAGATACACACATACACACACACACACACACACACACACACACACAAGCAATTTGGGAAGAGACACAAACGCGCGCGTGTGTATGTGCATATATCTATATTTAGAGATATCTATGCAGAGAGAACCAAAAAGCGACATTATGACCGTACAAGTGTTTTGGATTTCATAATTTACTTCAAAGATACCGTATAACCGATTTAAATACAAAAAAAGCTACATTAAATATACAGAATAAGATTTCATACAAATCGCCTCTGTCTTTTTCCCTCCCCTCTGCGTGCGAGAGTTTTTCCACAAACCCACCACAACTTGCAGTTCTGCTTAAGACTTCTAAAAGCTGCGTTTTCAAATAAATTATAAAGTTGATTGGGAAACCGGCCACAACTTTCCTTTTTTCCTTTTCATTTCTCTCTCTCTCTCTCTCTCTCTCTCTCTCTCTCTCTCTCTCTCTCTCTCTCTCCCCCCCTCTCCCTCCCTTGTTCTTCTTTTTTCTTCCCCCCTTCCCCCCCCCCGCCCTTTTTAGCAGGGGGTGGGAAAAAAAAAACCCAATCCAGACGGGCTGGATGGGAAAGAAATGTGGAAAAACCGCTCACGATGAAAAAAAGAAAAAAAATAGCAGAAAATCACTGAAAGAGCGGAGGAGGACGAGTAGAGGGGGGGGAACACAACTTTCTCTCCCGCCCCCTCAAAAAAAATAAAAAATAAAAATAAAAACAAAAGGCGAGCCCCAAATCCAACAAGTCCCGTTTTGGAGCTCAGCTTTTTAAGTGGGAGATTAAATGTGCGACATACCTTTCTTGAGTTCGTAAGGCGGCTCTTTGCAAAAGTCGTACTGGCTCTGACTTCGGAGCACCTTCGCGTCCTTGGCCAAGCTTTCCGCTCTGTTCAAAAGGGTCTGGTTTAATCCGTTAAAGTGGGGGCCGGGGGCGCCCGCCTGGGCCGCCGCGTTGCCGTGCAGGTGTCCGAAGGAGGCGTAGTTCGTGTAGCCGGGGTAAAAGGGGCTGGTGGCGTAGTAAAGGGGTCGCGGGAGCACCGAGGCGGCGCCGTTGGGGAAGGGGCAAGGGGCGGCGGAAGGCGAGCGGGCCGTCGGGGCGGGCGCGCCTAAACCCGAAGGCGTTTGCGGGGGCGTCTCGCCGCTGCTCCCGGCTTCCTTGGCTTTGTCCGCGGAGGTGGCGATCTCCGCCAGGGACCACAGCTTGGGCTTGGAAAGGGGCCCCGAGCCGGCCGCCTGCGGAGGCGCTTGGGGTGTGTGGATGACCGACGTGGTGCCGTGGCTGGAAGGCAGGCCAGGGTGCAGGTCCGTCGAAGGGGGTCGGTACTGGGAGGGAGGGGCCGCCGGGGGGGGCTCCTCGGGGTGCAAGAGCTGAGGCTGCTGCTGCTGTTGCTGGTGGTGCTGGTGGTGGTGATGGGGGTGGTGGTGGAGGTGATGGGGAGCTTGGAGGAGCAGGCGGCCGGCGGAGCCGCAGTGCGCCAAAGGCGGCGAGGCGCCGGCGCCGGCGGCTTCTTTCCCAAGCCCCGTCTGCTCGGGGCTTTCCTTACAATCCGAGTCGCTGGAGGCGCCGTCCGTTTCTTTGCCCCCTCCGACGCCTTTGGGGTCTGCGGGGCCTGCGGAGAAAAGCCGGAGAGGCCCAGGGGGCGCCGCTGTCAGACTTCTGCGGCTCAGCGCCCGTCTTCACGCCCCCACCCCACCCCCCCGGAACCTGACACCCGAAGAAGCCGTTCCTCCGGTCTGCTTTTCCCACCCGGCAGATGGGCCGAGTAAGCCATCTAACCCCCTAGGGATTTCTTTTCCTTCCTTCCTTCCTTCCTTCCTTCCTTCCTTCCTTCCTTCCTCATAACTTAATTCTTTCTCCTTTCTTTCTTTCCTTCCTTCCATCCATCCTCCTTCCATCCCTTCCTCTCTTTCCCTTGTCTTCCTTTCCTTCCTCCTACTTTCTTTCTCTTTCTTTCTTTCTTTCTTTCTTTCTTTCTTTCTTTCTTTCTTTCTTTCTTTCTTTCTTTCTTTTCTTTCTGTCTTTCTCTTTCTCTCTCTCTTCCTTCCTTTCCACCCACTTTCTTTTTTTCTTTTCCTTCCTTCCCTCCCTTCTTCCCACTTTCTTTCTTTTCCTTCCTTCCTTTCTTCCTTCCTTCCCCATAACTTAATTCTTTCTCCTTTCTTTCTTTCCTTCCTTCCATTCATCCTCCTTCCATCCCTTCCTCTCCTTCCCTTGTCTTCCTTTCCTTCCTCCTACTTTTTCTTTCTTTCTTTCTTTTCTCTCTCTCTCTCTCTCTCTTCTTTCCTTCCTCCCACTTTTTTCTTTTCCTTCCTTCCCTCCCTTCTTCCCACTTTCTTTCTTTTCCTTCCTTCCTTCACTTCCTCCCACTTTCCTTCCCTCTCTCTCTCTCCCCACAACCCCAAGTTTCCGATCGTGCGAATGAGGGCCGTGAGACACTTTACTGACCTACTTCAAGCTAGTCGTGAGAATACAGACCCTCGGGTTTCCTCTCCCCTTCCCCCACCCCACCCTCTTCCTCGGGCTACCCAAAGCTGCTGAGCACCTTTCCCGGGACAGGCCCCTCCGCTTTTCCTGCACCTTTTAAAGCTGCTGGAGACCCCTCTCCCCTCCTTCTCCAGAGGACCCCGGCCTGAAAGTGGGGAGACCGACCACCCCCCACGCCTCTTCTCCATCCACCCCTCCCCACCTAAGCGCAATTCAGGGACAAAAACGGTCTTTTTCAAGGCCTCCAAGCCCCCAAATTAAGCCAGCAACGTTCGGGGCCAGGACAGGAGGAGGAGGAAGAGGCAGCGGTGTCTCTTACCAAGCTGACCCGCCTCTGAGTCGCCCTTCTCCTCGAGTTTGGCCGGTTCTTCGTCGTCGTTCTTCTCCAAGTCGATGTTCTCCTCTTCCTCCTCGTCCTCGCTTCGGTTCCGGGGCGTCCAAGTCATCTTGTTCTCCTTCTTGAGGCGGCGCCGGGCGTTGGCGAACCAGGTGGAGACCTGGGTGAGGGTCATCTTGGTGATGATGGCCAGCATGATCTTCTCGCCCTTGGTCGGGTAGGGGTTCTTGCGGTGCTCGTTCAGCCAGGCCTTCAGCGTGGCCGTGGCGTCCCGCGTGGCGTTCTTGCGGTAAGCCGGGTCCCCGTAAGGGTAGGAGCCCAGCGGGGCGGCGTAAGGATGGTACCCCAAGGAACCCGCCATGCCGGGCGTATGGTCGTAGGGCGAGCCCTGCAGGGGAAACGAGAAGGGAGAAGGAGAAGCGAAGCAGGCCCGGGTGAAAAAGGAGAAAAATCCACCCCGGCTGGGAAAACTCCACCGTGGACGATATTTACAACGAAAAGCCCCCTTTTTCTCCCGCCCCTCCCTTAACTCCCCCGCCCCCACCCCGCTACCCACATAATAACAACTCGAATAACGACCACCGAGGTAATAATAACGAATAAACCCGGCCTGAAAGAAAAACCGCCACAAGGTAATAATATACAATCACGCGAGTCGCCCGAAGGTCAGAACGCAGGCAGAAAAGATTCGCCACTCGCCACTCCAGCGGGGTTTTTTTTCCCACCACCGCTACTTTTGCTACAGCCTGCCACCCCACCTCGGTATCTCATTCCCCCCCGCCCCCCTCCGCTTCCCTCTACGCCGGATTATCCGCCTGTAAACAGCAACAAATTATACACCCCGCCTTCTTCTCTCCCCTTTAATTAAAGGCAACCTTTCGCCCCCAACTTCTGCCGTTTCGCCTTTATTTTCCCTTTTTTAAACACCCCTAGAAATGGAGAGCTTGTATCGAGCCGGCAAAAGGGGACAGGAAAACCGAAAACCAACCCTCGAGGTCGGAAAGAGCCCGGCTGGGCTACTCTGATTTTAAACCCAGCTAATCGGATTCAAGTAGGAGTTAAGACTCGGAGTATTATTATTTTTTCCTTTCTCCCCCACTATATTCCCTCTCCACCCACCCACCCCCCGGTGGCCTAAGGCAATTGCCTTAAAAAAATGGATTGGGGTTGTTGTGGCCGGAGCCCCGGGAAGGCAAGGCTGGGCCGCCCGAAGCGAATCCGCAGGGCGTCAAAGAAACGCGGGGCCGGCTTGCTTTATTTCACGGGGTCTTGTCCCCTAAAGATTTCCAGGGTGATGGGCTCGGTAAGGGACCCTAAGCCGGTTGCCGCAGGTCGCTTTGCACGCTTTTTTTATTTATTTATTATTTTTTAAAACCTATATTTATGAGTAAGCACGGCGGTGATTTCTTTAAGCGACTTGGCGCTTGGATTCCACAGCCGCCGGGCGGGTGGGGGGAGAGCAAGGGGCGAAATCTGAGCGGTTTCACTTCCCCAGCCCACCCCTCCCCAACTCCCCCGTCCCCTTCTTCAGCAGCCAAACTGATGGGCGTCTAAACTGATTGACCTGACTTGAATTCAAAGCGGGGGGGATGGGGGCGGGTGGTGGGGGCGCATTGCTCCGACGTGCACGGACAAAAATAAAGGGATGGTGTGGGGAATCTCTGAAAAGCTAACCAGATCACGTCCTAAATTTTCTTCCTCTTTCTTTCTTTCTTTCTTTCTTTCTTTCTTTCTTTCTTTCTTTCTTCTCTCTCCCTTTCTTTTTCTTTCTTTCTTTCTCTATCTCTCCCTTTTTCTCTTTCACTCTTTTTCTTTTCCGTCTCTGAATGGCCCCAAAACCGCTCTTCGCCTTCCCTCCGCTATTTAGATCCCAGTTCGAAAGAGCTGGACACTCTCGAACCCGTTTCGCCTTACGAGTTCTCCCGAATAAACAGGCTGCTGGAGCCGAGAACGGCTTGGGCTTTCGCTGGAGGGGGAAGCAGGCAGCAATTCCCCCTTAGGATCTCCCCTTAAGGGCAGAATTGCCCCCAATTTGAGCCGAAGCAGGATCCGACGCAACCTGTCTCCGGGTAAGAGAAGCCGGTGGGGCCGAGACTTCGTCGGGAAGGGGCCCGGAGCCTCCAGGCGGCCGGCTTGCTTTCCTTCTTGCTCTCGGGCCTCCTTTCTCCCTTTCCCGGCGGATTCCCCTGAAGCCAGAGCCGCTTTCGCAAGCTCCCAACCAAAGCCCCAGCTCTCGGGGTCTTCCCCGCCTCCCCTTTGCTCCTGATCTCGGGGTCTCTCTCCTCGCCCAAGCCCCCTGCCCAGCTCTGCCTCTTTCCAACCAGTGCCGAAGAAGGAAAGAAAGGAAGGAAGGAAGGAAGGAAGGAAGGAAGGAAGGAAGGAAGGAAGGAAGGAAGGAAGGAAAGAAAGAAAGAAGGAAGAATTAAGTTATGGGAAAGGAAGGCAGGGAGGGAGGGAAGGAGGGAGAGAAGGAAGGGAAAGGAAAGGAAGGAAGAATTAAGAAGGAAGGAAGGAAGGAAGGAAGGAAGGAAGGAAGGAAGGAAGGTCGGGAGAGCGGTGCTTACCACGTAGGAAGAGAAGGCAGCCGCGGCCGCCGGATCTGTGCCGTACTGGAGGTGCGAGTTGTAGCCGGGCGAAGGAGCACTGAAGGCGGTGGAGCCGGCGTAGGGGGAAAAAGCCGAGCCGGACGACGACCTTCCCAGTTCATCGGTCCGCGGACCGGAGATCACGCTGGTGCTGTAGGCAGGGCAGGAGTAGAGGGCCAAAGAGGCGGACGGTTGGTACAAGTAACCCTGAGGATACGACATGGCCGGAAGCTGCTGGCCGAGCTCCGCCAGCCAGCCAGCCAGCCCCAGCCAGCCGCGCAAGCAGCTGCTGCAAGCCGCCGCCGCCGCCGCCTCCTCCGCCGCCAAAGCGCAGCGCCGCTCCGCCGCTCGGGATCCCGGCTCTCTCCGGAGCGCGTCGTCGAAGCCTTTGCCGCGGCGGGCGGCTCTGCCAACGGCGGGCGGACGGGCGGAGAGCCCCTCTTCGCCGCCTCCCCTCCGCAGCGGCTCTGGCTGGAGTCTCCGGCGCGCGGCACCTTTCGCCCCCCCCCTCCTCCTCCTCCTCTTCCTCCTCCTTCTCCTCTTCCTCCTCCTCCTCTTCGCAGGCGTCCTCTTCTCGGTTCCCGCTCCCCCTTCCCTCCCTCCCTCCCTCCCTCCCTCCTTCCGCTGGACAAGGAAAGGGCGCTTTGGGGCTGCTGGCTTCTTCGTCCCCTCGCCTGCCTTCTTGACCGCCCGTCGTCCCCCCCCTTCCCTGTGCGCGCTCCGCCAAAGGTCCTGCCAAGACGCGAAGTTGGGAATTGAGGATTCTGACGCCTCCGACGCAATGCGCCCAAGCTCCGCCTCCCGCGGGGGGGGGGTGTTGGTGGAGCGAGAGGCGGGGTGGGGGAGGGGGAAGAGGAAAGAGGGAGGGAGAGGCGGGGAGGGACGGGGGGGGGAGAGAAGGGAGAGAGAAGTAAAAGTAAAAGAAATCCGAAGAGGCTGGTTGGAGCTGCGGCTGGCCAAACCCAAGCAGCTCTCTCTCTCTCTCTCTCTCTCTCTCTCTCCCCCCCTCTCTCTCTGTCTCCCCCCTTCTCTCCCCCTTCTCTCTCCCGCCCCCCTCTTCTCTTGCCGGCTCAATTGCGCCGGCCTCTGGCAATCAACAGCCAAGCTGTTTAGCAAAGATCACCTCCAACTTTCTTCATTTGCTAAATACACCATCAGCGCAATTTCTCTTTTGATTTATGGCAACGGGCATGCCGGCTGGGTCCTCGCTCGCTCGCTCTCCCGCTGGCGGGCCTGTACTGGAATGCGAATGCGTTCGCTTGATGAAATGGAAGGAAGGAAGGAAGGAAGGAAGGAAGGTGAGAAACAAGGAAGGAAGGTGAGAAACAAGGAAGGAAGATGAAAAGGAAGGAAGGAAGGAAAGAAGGAAGGAAGGAAGGAAGGAAGGAGAGAAACAAGGGAAGAAGGAAGGATAGAAGGAAGGAAGGTGAGAAACAAGGAAGGAAGATGAAAAGCAAGCAAGCAAGTAAGGAAGGAAGGAAGGAAGGAAGGAAATCTGGGAATAAGGAAGTAAAAAAGAAGTCCCAATAAATCAAAAGCCATCTGTCGAAGAAGAGAAAACAGTTTTTCCAAATTTGGCACTTTGCTTTGTGGTCCTACCTGCCTTAACATCTTCCATCTAATATCTTTGCTATTGTTGTTGTTATCATGACAGATATTATCCCATGAAGGATTCCACCACCACCCCACCCTCACCTCCCGATAAATGGTCCTCCTGTAGGGCACAGAAAGCTACACACACACACACACACACACCCGTTCCTTATCCCAGAGGACCCCAATTCGGATTTGTTCAGATTCCCCTTCTCCCTTCCGTTCCTCCAGCACAGCGGCCGCAGAAGAAGACCGGGCCTGGGGATTTAGTTGCTTAAAATTACAGCTCAGTGTTGGCCAGGTAGAGTTTAAAGTCGCTCCTTTCTACCCTTTCAAGGGTGGCTGGGAAGATACGTTCGGGCCGCGGAGCGACTCCCAGGGATCCTTCTGTATGAAACGAAAGGAAACGGTGCTCTCCGGTTTCCTTACCGAGTTACTGATATGAGCCAATAAACTCGAAACCGAATATAGTTCGGGTGGTGAACTAACTCTCTGGGTCTGCACACCTGGACCAAAGTTATCTCCCCAACCCAGTTCTCTTTACAGGGCCCGAGAAGAGGCGAGGACGTGCGCCCCCCCCCCCCCCCCACCCCGTGTTACAGCCACCCCCACGCCAGGGTCTCTTGTCCCCTCTTGGCCCAGGTAGGCAGGAGAAGAAGAAGCGAAATCTCTCCCGCGCGGCGCTTTGCCCGAGTCCCTGAGCAGAGAGGGCGCCCCTTGGCCAAGTCGTCCCGGGAAGAAAGACCAACCGCCCCTCCCGCCCTCTTGTTGGGACAGTTAGCAGAGGGGTTAGGGGTTGGGGTTCTTCCCCCTTGGCAGGAAAGAAAGAGGGGGGGGGGAAAGGAGGGGGGGAGGGAGGGAAGCCCAGGAAAAGCCGCGGAGGGCGACGGAAGGAGAAACGGGGCTGCGGAACGGCCTGCTTGGGCGAAGTTTGGCCTGGGCATCTCAGGGGGAGAAAGAAAAGAAAAGAAAAATGATAATCCAGGTATCTGTTCCTTTCTCTACTCCCCCTTAAACCCCGTAAAAGGGTAGTGGTAGCCAAAGCAGATTAAAACCAGATGGAGTGGGGAAAAGTCCTTGCCTAGCGCAGAATGTAATCTCCTTTGATTCTGCAGGTATCTATTACGCAGTAGGATCGCGTTCTGTGCTCTCTCCCTCCATTCTTTCTTTCATTCATTCTCTCTTTCTCTCTCCCTCCTTTCTTTCTCTCTCTCTCTCTTTTTCTCTCTGTCCCTCCATCCTTCCTTTTTTTTCTTTCTCTCTCCCTCTCTCTCCCTCCTTTCTTTCTCTCTCTCCTTTCTTTCTTCCTTTCTTTCATTCTCTCTCTCCCTCTCCCTCCCTGCTTTCTCTCTCTCTATCCTTTTTCTTTCTTTTATTCATTCATTCTCTCACCCCCCTCTCTCTCCCCCTTCTTTCTCTCTCTCACACACACTCTCTCCCTCCCTCCTTTCTTTCTTGTTTATTCTTTCTCTGTTTCTGTCTCTCTCCCTCCCTCTCTCCCTTCTTTCTCCCTCTCCCCCTCTCTCTCTCACACACACTCTCCCTTCTTTCTTTTTCTTTCTTTTTCTTTTCTTTCTTTCTCTCTTTCTCTCTCACTCCCTTTCTTTCTCTTCCTTCCTTTCTCTCTCTCTTCTCTCTCCCTTTCACAGGAGAGGCAGCTCTGATATCTATCTACCCCCCACCCCCATGAAAACGGATCCGTCTTTCCAACCCACGACCAGGTAAAGGACACCTTTCCACCTCCGGCTGCTTTGAGCTTCCGAAGTTTCCTTTTCAGCTTAAGAAACGGCCCCCACTCGCGCGCGGGGCCCACCTGGGTGTAAAGGAGCCAAGGGCCAGCCTGCAAAACTAGCCGGGGGGGGGGGCAGGGGGCTTCCTGGCTGGGACTGGACACCCCTCCACTCCTTCAGCCCAGGTGGCTGGCTGGCTGGGCGGGATCTCCTTCAGGGCAGGCGACGACGTCTAAAGAGTTTTTTGGAGAGGCGGAGGAACGCGAGTCAAATTTGGGCGCGCCTGATTACAGAGGCTCTGGGGTCGCTTTAAATCTTTGCGAAACTTTCCAAGTTCGAGGTTCGATTCGGCAGATTTTGGTTTTTTGTTTTTTTCCTTAGGGGGCATGAGAGTGGGGACGGGTGGAGACACACACAGAGAGAGAGAGAGAGAGAGAGAGGGGGGGGGGGAGGGGGGGAGGGAGAGAGGGGGGGAGGGGGAGGGGAGGGGGGGGGGGGAGAGAGAAAGGGAGGGGGGGGGGGGTGTACTGAAAGCTGAGAAAGGCAAAAAAATCCCCAGAAGATCGGGAAAGAAGGTCAGTTAGCCGAAGGGAAGGGCTCGGAGTAGCAGCGCTCTGGGCGCAGAATCGGCTGGGAAGCGAATTTGGGGCGTCCGCATTTTTCCAAGCAAGCGTGTGTGTCTGTTCTTATTCGATTCTTATTCGGAAGAGGCCGAGATCTTCGGAGAAAGGCTCAATTTTGGACGCCTCCACTCACGCCCGGATGTCCAAGGGAGTTTAGAAAGTTCTCCACGAAGTGAGGCCGGGATTAAGGACGTAGCCGGATCGATCCCCGCGCAACTGGCACGGTTGCAAACGAAAAAAAACTGTTACCCATTTTCGGAAGGGAACCATTAATCGTTAATAATTCAAAAACCACCGGGCCCCCGTTCCTTCCTAAAGAGAGCTGCGGCTTGAGGCTAGGAGGCAGAGCCAAGCCTGCTTTTCCGCGGACAGAAGTTTCGTTGGCTTACACGGAAGCCCGGAGTTTTACTCCCGAGTAACGCAGACACGGATACTACCTGCCAAGCGCGGGCCGGTGCAGTTGAGCTCCATCAAAAAGTTTCAATTGGAGTACCCCGCCTTTACTTGGAAATAAGATCCATGGGATTGAATAAGATGTCCCCTCCTCGCTCCCCCCTCCATTTCTCTTCCCCCTCCCCCACCCGTTAGGGAGGGGACCCCGCTGCCCGTCATCGTTCCAATCGCGACCCCCAAAGCAGCCCCTGTCTCCTCCCCATCCCAATTAAAGAAAAGCAAACACATCCGAGGCTACCAGATATCTTGGCCCGAGGGTGGCGTTTCGAAAAACACACCGAATTCTAGATATTCAAAATCTCTGATCAAAACTTTCCCTGTTTGGGGAGTGGGAGTGGGGGGGGGAGAAGAAGGGGAGGCTTAGGTCTCCCAGGATGGTTTTGTCATTCTTCCGGATCAAAGAAAGAAAAGAGACAGAAGGAGGACTTGCTTGATGAACCTCTCGCCACAGACTACTAACTGATACAAGGCCTTCTTCTTCTTCTTCTTCTTCTTCTTCTTCTTCTTCTTCTTCTTCTTCT